AAAACATGAGATAATCAACTCAATTGTTGAAGTTGGGGCCTGAAGGAGGTTTCTGGGACAAGGTCTCACTTCCCTATCGGAGAGGAATTTAAGACAGCCATGTTCATTCAAGATACATATATATTTTGTTTGTTTTTTGAGACAGGGTTTCTCTGTGGAGGCTGTCCTGGAACTAGCTCTTGTAGACCAGGCTGGTCTTGAACTCACAGAGATCCACCTCCTTCTGCCTCCAGGGTGCTGGGATTAAAGAGGCGTGCGCCACCAACGCCTGGCTCAAACTATATATATATATATAATTTTTTTTTTTTCGAGACAGGGTTTCTCTGTGGCTTTGGGGGCTGTCCTGGAACTCGCTTGGTAGTCCAGGCTGGTCTCGAACTCGCAGAGATCCGCCTGCCTCTGCCTCCCGAGTGCTGGGATTAAAGGTGTGCGCCACCAACGCCTGGCTTCAAGCTATATTTTTAAGACATGCCGATTTTACAGTGTGTAGGTCAATTTTCCTTTTAAAGCTGCCCTAAATGTACTGACAGGTTAACTGCATTGGGCACATCCAATCTTAGTCAATACCCCTTTCTAGTCTACCTTAACATATGGCATGGAGGGTTGCAGAGATGGCTCGGTGGTTAAAAGCACTGGCTGTTCTTAAAGAGTTCAATTCCCAGCAACCACATGGTGGCTCACAACCATCTAATATAGGATCTGATGCCCTCTTCTGGCTATATATGTATACATGTATTACTGAGGACTTTTTTGTTGGAAGCTGGTATTAAGATTGTGAACATGGGGCTGGAGAGATGGCTCAGAGGTTAAGAGCATTGATTGTTCTTCTAGAGGTCCTGAGTTCAACTCCCAGCAACCACATGGTGGCTCATAACCACCTTGAATGAGATCTGATGTCCTCTGCTGGTGTGCATAAGATTGTATACATAATAAATAAAATATTAAAAAAAAAGACTGTGAACATGAAAGGAGCTCTTCTAACACACCTCTTCTAGTTCAGAGTGAGTGGGAAGGAACAAGAAAAAAATATATATGGGTTAGGAAAAAGATGGGGCCGGAGAGATGACTCTGGCTTTAAGAGCATTTGCTTTTTTTTTTTTTTTTTTGGTTTTTCGAGACAGGGTTTCTCTGTAGCTTAACAGGACGCAGAATTTACAGTAACCTCAACTTCTATTCCAGGGTATCTGGTACCCTTTTTTGGCCTCCCTCAGCACCAGGGATGCACATGGTACATATGCTTGCTTGCATGCATGCATGTATACATACATATATGTACTCACACATACACATATAAAAGAATTTTTAAAAAATATTCCCACTGGCCGGGCGTTGGTAGCGCATGCCTTTAATCCCAGCACTCGGGAGGCAGAGGCAGGCGGATCTCTGAGTTCGAGACCAGCCTGGACTACCAAGCGAGTTCCAGGACAGCCTCCAAAGCCACAGAGAAACCCTGTCTCGAAAAAACCAAAAAAAAAAAAAAAAATCCCACTGGGTAGTGGTGGCACATGCCGCTAATCCCAGCACTCCAGAATTAGAGGCAGGCAGATCTTCTTGAGATCGAGACCAGCTTGGTCTACAAGAGCTAGTTCCAGGACAGCCTCCAAATCCAGAGAAGGCCCGTCTCGAAAAACAAAACATGCATGCATACATACATATATTCTCCTTAAATAGAAACATTCCTGGTCCGAATCTATAGAGCCTCATTAAGAAAGAATACAGGTCCCCAACTCTATTTGTTCTGTAAGCTATTTCCATAGCCATTTCTTTAGGTTTATTAAGTTTTCTTCGAGTTTGTTGAATATATTTTCTGTGCCTTTGAGCTGCCATTCTTCTTTCTTCTATCCCTATTATTCTTAGGTTTGATCTTTTCTTGGTGTCCCAGATTTCCTGGATATTTTGTGTCAGATGAAAGCAAATGCTTTGGTCTATGTTATGAAGTTTGATGACCTGAGTACAACTCCTGAGACTCACATAGTGTAAATGAAAGAATGGACTCAATGCCAGCATGAACTGTCATCCTCTGACCTCTACTTGCAAGGTATGGAACATGTACACATGTGAATGAACAGACACACACAGACCAAAAAATAAAGCACCAGGAAACTCACTGAGCTCATGCCTGATTCCCATTCTGAGGGAAAGACTATTACCAAACAGACGAGCAGCGAGGGTGTTGTAGACATGGGCATGTCCCTCCTACACAGAAGCTGAAACTAGCTCAAGACAGTAGATCCCATCAGGCAGAGCTGCTACTGCAACATAAAAGCAGCAAGTGTTGGGACACCCAAACCCTTCTGAAGCTTATAAAGCAAGCATCTCTGGGAGTGCTACAGAATAGCTGTACATAGGAAAGGTTTAGCTGGGGACGAAAGTGAGTCAGACTCAAAAGTTAACACTAAGGGTCCAGGTAAGAGGTCTGGCTGGTTAGTTATGTCTTCGAGAGAGAACTTTGGTATACTGATATTTAGACATTTAGTGCATGAACAGACAAGTCAGGCTGCATAGTCCATAGATTCCTAAGCTTTGATGGGAGCTCTTAACCCAGTTGGAAATGGAATTGCATCATTAAATCTGAGTAGATTCATAGGTCTTTGGATAAGTGGATAGTTGATGTGGCTTGTGTAGGTTTTAAGGTGACCTTCTGTGATAACATTAGTAGGTGCCTTTAAAGACACACGACTCTGTGTGATGTGCAGATACCACGGCCCACAAAAGGGACAACTGCAGCCAACTCTTTCCTTGCACCTTTACATAGGCCAGAGGAAACAAACTGAAGCCATCAGGTGTGCAGTGCACGTGCTTTTACCTGTGGCCTTTTTGTCTGAACAAGACCTACATTTTTTAGGTCTTGCCAAGGACATGCAAAAAGTTTATCAAGGCTATGTTGGCATGCAGGCCAGCACAAACTCCCTGCAGTATAGTACTGAAAATTCTAATGTGGAAGTTGCCACTCCCAAATTCTGTAGATGAAACTGGTTTTTTTAAAAAATGTAATCCCTATGTTCCTCCAAAAACTAAAACCTTGCAACATTCTATTATTACTCAGAACGAGCGATGTACTGATTGTTTAATATGTGGAGTGGTCCAAAAGCAAGGTACTTCAGACTACCTACTTAGTAGCCCATATGCATATACATTAAATCATTGGCAATTTGAATTCACCGTCTTTTCCAGCAATCACAGTTCACCTTGGAAGCAAATTTAGATTTTGAGTCAAAGGGACATATGAATTAGTACCACCCCTCTCAAATTCCTCTTTGCTGCTACAGCTGAATTTTCTTCATACTAAGGTCAGCTAACAAAAGAGAAAACTATACGGCTAAGTGACTGCTTTCCATACTGTATTAAATATTCAGTAAGGCAGACTAATAAACTGTGCTTATATACTCAATATTATCTCTCTATAGTTCGGCTGTCTAAGCACTAATTTTTAGAAATAAAAACATCAGGGCCAAGAAGGATAGCTTCCATGGAATAAAAAGTGCTTGCATGGGCTGGGCTGTGGTGGCGCACACCTTTAATCCCAGCAGAGGGAGGCGGATCTCTGAGGCCGGGCTAGACCGACAGCCTCCAAAACAATACAGAGAAACCCTGTCTCGTAAAAAAGTGCTTGCATGGATGCCTGATAACATTGGGTTCAATTCCTACAACCGATGGACAACTCATTTGTCCTGCTTGTCAATATACAACACACGGAATGATGACCTCAGTACTATCAAGAATGGTCTTTTATACTGTAGCTCACCTAGCAATTCCTAAGTCCTTCATTACATCCTTAGCAGTTTACAATTATTTTCTAATTTACCCAGTTCGCTGTAAAAGCTAAAAATAAGGCAGGAATGAACAAAGATCTAGAACCTTGAGTCTTAACCTTAACCTTAAATAGGCATCAGCAGGCGGGTGATGCTGGTACACACCTTTAATCCCTGCACTGGGGAGGCAGAGGCAGGCAGACCCCTATTGAGTTTTAGGCCAGCCTGGTCTACAGAGTGAGTTCCAGGACAGCCTCCAAAACGATACAGAGAAACCTTGTCTTGAAAAAACAAACAAGCATCACCAACTCTAAGGTGAGAAAAGGTGTAAGAAATGTTCAGTTCATTCTTTTTAGCCTAGCATGATGGTCATATTTGAAGTCATCCTCAAACTACCTGGTGAATCTAGGCCAAACTTTGGCTACATGGATTTTGGTTTTGATCTTAATCTATCCCACATTACCTCTAAATAATTATTTCTTGATATAAGCTCCAATACTGACACCCAGCCTGGTCTACCTTGAAAAGTGGGCGTAGAGAAGATCAGCACCTTCATGGCAGCTCACATCTGTTAACTCTAATTCAAGGGGATCTAATACCTTCACATCTACGCACAGACAAAAAATGGATCTAGGGCTGGAGAGATGGCTCAGAGGTTAAGAGCACTGGCTGCTCTTCCAGAGGTCCTGAGTTCAATTCCCAGTAACCACATGGTGTCTCACAACTATCTACAATTCAATCTCTTGCCCTCTTCTGCCGTGTAGACAGAACACTGTATATGTAATAAATCTTAAACAAAAAAAGGATCCAGAAAATCTTTCTTAAAACCATTAACCCTTTTCAAAACAAACCCTGCTGGAAAGACTTCACTCCGTGTTTTGCTGAGGGTTAGAAGAATGTTCCTATATAACACTGGAATGCCTCTACAAATTTTTAACATTACATGAAACGTAGAAACAATTGTCTGCAGTGCATAGAATGAAAACAATCTTGCTAGGCATGATATAACAAATAACATCTTTTTGAGAAATAGAAGATCTGGTCTGTATTCAGACTTCTAAACAGTAATTGAAACAACCAACCACTCCACGTCAAAATTGTTTAAACACTCATCTTGAAATGGTTTTTATTCATATTGATACGCATGATTATGACTCAAGAAAATTGTATTTAATACAACCTGAGAATTTGTGGAGGCCGATAAAAAGAACAAGTAATTTTAATAAAAAATTCATATTTCCCTTCAAATTCCTGGTTTAATAAGGAATTGTTTATTTTGAGAAAAAGATCCCAAACATCAGGCTGTTCACAAAAATAACCCATGGTATTAACTTTAGAAAACAAATATTAAGACTATTACACTATTTTCCTGTAAGATGCATTTGACATGCCAACTCTCATTCACAAAAATACATGGTTACATTCGTGTTGAACAGCCCCACTCGTGTGAGGGAAAACACACCTCTATTGCAAAGCTGCTCTCAGGGTTACAAGTAAATGAGATGCTTCTGCAGTTAGGGAAGCAACTACTGAAATCATATGAGAACTGTCCTCCCTGCATAACAAGAGATTATTTTGGAGACAGCTGATAAAAACCATACTTTTTTATTGTTAAGTCAAAGAGGTATCAAAATTAAAAGCAAACTTACAGGGTAAGACTTAACAAAACTACTCAGGAGCATCAAAGGAAGTGAAAATGGAACTAGGCGCAGGGCAAGTATGAACCAATGAACACAGGAGGACGAGGAGAGGGCGAACAGTGAGAATGTGCTGAAGATACTAGGGAGAGGATCTGGTGTTACTCTGATCTCTCACAAGCGCCTAGGTAAATGAACAACGGGATAAGTTTCTAAACTCAACTATGTGCTTAAGAGTCATCCTCCCCATTGGCGCTGTCTCTGTCATCTTCTCCTTCCTCGGCCTCTTTTTCATCATCCTTGATCAATTCCAGCTGTGAGAAATAGACACAAACAAGGAGAGTTAGAAGTACTCCTTGTATCTCTGGACCCTGTCCCCCACCTTTCCTTCCTTTCCCAGGCACTAACCTGGTCATCCCCCCGATCCTCATTGTCATCGTCATCCAGCAGGTCACCCTCCTCTGCAGAGTCATCTGCACCTGCCTCAGACTCCATCTTCACATTGGTCTCATCTTTTTTCACAGAGGCGCTGCTCTGCTCTTCTTCAGACTTTTCATTCTTCATCTCTACTGGGGATGAGAAGGACAAGTCTGTCCAGGGGCAAGTGTTGCCCACAGGATATAGAAAGCTCTCATTAATCAAAGAACAAATATAGTTTTCCAAACAAATCAATGATCCTCCCAAACACCCCAATATGCAAATGTCTTAAAATAACCCAATTTTACTTGAAACAAGCACAAGACCATTACCTGCTTGTTTGCTTTGCTCCTTTTCAATTTTTTCCAGGCTTTCCAGCAGAGAATCCACTTTTTGTTTTATCTGAGTCAGCTCCTTCTTAATAGCCTGAAGGTCATCTCCTTTCACTGTAACACAAAGTCAGGCAAGAATAAAACATATTATAATTAACCAGTTGCTAAAAATTATCTTCTAGGAGCTAGAATTTTAAATTGACCCAGCAACATCCCATGGGGAAATTCTTTGAGATGCATGTGCATGCATTTGTGTACACACAACCTAAAAGCTAAAATGATGGAATAGGTAACAGCTACAAAAGTAATGGATATTTTTTTCTTTCCTTTTTTGTAGACAGGATTCCTATGTATTGCTTTGGAGCCTGTCTTAGAAGTTGCTCTGTAGACCAAGTTGGCCTCAAACTCAGAGATCCACCTGCCTTTATGATAGGGTATCTGAGTACCCAATGTCATCCTTCAACTAGGAGATGCTAGTGTTATTCTTTCAGAAGTTCTCAGCATCTACATCTCAAACCTACAACTCCAGCTCCATGGGAATCAACACCTTCTCTGACAACAATTCCCCAAACGCATACATGTAAAAATAATTACATAAAATTTGGAGGTGGGAGGCATTGCACAAAAATACCACAAAAGAGAAACAATACTTACACTTTCCAGACTTGGATGAAGATCCCCGTTGTCCACTCTTTGAATTAAATCCACTTTTGCCCCTTCGAGAGGTGTTTCCGGAAACACGCTGGCGTTTAGAAGGCACCACAGCTCGAGCAATAGGAGGAGGAGGGGGAACACGTGCTGGGTAACTGTACATCCTTTTGGATAAAAATAGAATTATCTGTTTTAGCCATTTCCTTTAACTAACTTGATAGACAAGATTTCAATCTCTACTCTGATGAAGAAACACTACAGAAACTAAAGGGAAACAAACACACCTATAGACTTGAAAGATTTACAACCATCACTTATAAGTAGCATTCTGTTGAATTTTATCTTATAAGCAGCATTCTGTTGAATTGCCTTTTATCTTATACTAACATAGAACTCAGAAAGATGGGAATTCATTGGATCTGCAGATATTCATTTTTAATTATGCAAAGGAACAAAAAACCAATGATACTAGTGGTAAAAGTGACTCAGGAGCTAAGAGCACAGGCTGCTCTTCCAGAAGTCCAGAGTTCAACTCCTAGACACCACACGGTGCTATCTCAGGACCATCTATAATGGGATCCACACCCGTTCTGGCATACAGGCATACACTGCACACAATATGTATCTGCCACCCCTAAAAAATCTTATTGCATTGTTCTCTTGATGAGCAATGCTACAAAAACCGTGTTGCTAGAGAATAGTTAAAGTATGCAAAATAGGGGCTGGGCTCCTAAGGAGCTATACCGGGATGGACAGAGGAGTTTATTCATACAGACCATCCCTTATGTAATGGGCTTCAGCAGTCACCAGAGGCTTAAACAACCACCATACCAAAATATTTCTATTTCAACAGCAAAAATGCTTTGGGCAACTAAACACAGTAAAGTGCACAATCTCTGGAGAGAACACAAGCCAGGTGTGGTACTACAATATATTGCAATCCCAATACCCAGTAGGTTGAGGGAAGGAGGATCTCTGGCAGATCTAGGCTAAATGAAGTAGCCCAAATCAATAAGAAATACACCAAGTTCAAACAAAGACACACACACAAAACAAGGTCATTATCATGAGGATTTTCGAAGCCTTGCAAAAAGAACAATGATTTAACGATCTGTAGTACTGCCAACATGGCAGGCCCTTTATATGCAAGATCAATAGCACCAATTTTCAAAGGTTAAGCATCTAGAACAATGGTGCACATTTTTAACCTCAGCTCTTGGCAAACAGAAGCAGATGGATCTCTCCTATCTGCGTTCCAGAGATACTCAGAGGCCCTGTCTACAACCTCCCCAACTCCCCGGCCAAATCACCTAACATGCCAAAAGCAAAAGCAAACTGACTTTGCAGCTGCCTAGACCTAGAGAGAGAAAAAGAACATGCATTACTATGAATAAACCCGGGGTTTATTTTTGAGGGTGATATAAACTAAATTTAGATCATGGCACCACCACACAACACAATCAAAATGCACTGAACCTTGTGTCTGTATGAGGATCTATCTGGATGAGTGTTGGTGCCTATCTAAATAGAAAGAGATATACAGAGTGTTGGGAAGGGGACATGGGTTATCTGCAAAAACACCATTTGTTCTTAACCACAGAGCACTTTAAGAATATACATTTTATGTGTGAAGGTATTATATTGAAATATATATAGGAAAAAAGCAAAAATGTCACCAAGGAGATTTGCAATGTTTATCTTGAAGCGTATCTTCAAATACCAGAGGCCACCTTGGAAATGGATAAAATATACTTAAGCTACCACACTCTAATTAGAGTATCTAATCCAAGTTGAGAATTTCTCCTTCAAAGATTTATGTACCACATACACAATGAAAATAGTAAGCCAGCCTAAAAAGGTTAAAAGGGTGACGACCAATAAAAGCATGTATATAATCCAAGTGTTTCTCCATAAATCAATGGCCCAGCTACACCTTCCAGAATCCTTATGTAATTTCAGATTTCCAAAAGAGAAACAATTAGTGTTACAAAGCTGAGTAAATTAGTGAGGGAAAACAAACAAAAGATGGCAAGCACAAGGACCCAAGTTGAGGTCCCCAATGCCCCACTAAAAAGCTAAGTGTAGACAGTAATGGGGAAGTAGACTCAGGCAGACTCCTAAAGTTTACTGGTAAGCTAAACAAATTGGGGGAGCTGTAGGTTGGTTCCATGGCTGGGCACATGCCTTTAAACCCAGAACTTGGGAGGCAGAGGAAGTTCAAGGCCAGCTTGATCTACAAGCTGGAATGCCAGGAGAGGCCCCAAAGCTACAGAGAAACACTATTTTGAAATAGAAAACAAAACAAAAATTTAGGGTTTCTAGAATGACTAGGAAGAACCTGGAGTTTCTGGCCTGTTGTGTATGTGTGGGTCTATTAAGATCTGGCTGTCTATCGTAGAAAACTCTGTAGAAATTCACATAAAGGTTGCCTACCAAGTGATGGATTTAAAAGACACTTTAATACGTTTATGTTCCAGCTCCCCACTATGCCCAGGTGATAACCTGTTTTTTTTTAACTTAAGACCTCCACATTTATGAAAATGCCATGCTATGGCACAAAAGATGGCTCAGGGAATAAGAACACTCCAGAGGACCCACATTCCAATCTCAGTACCAATGATGGGACCTCACAGCTGCCCAAAAAGCCCTTTTCCAGAGATTGCAGTAATTTACTCAAATGTAATGGAGTAGGGCTGTGTTTTCAAACATCCTACTAGAGAGTTTAATTGAGTAGAAAAGCAGCACGTGCAACACATCATTATTTTAAAAAAGAGACCTTAAACTGACTTTTTAATAACATCCAAAAAAACCATACATACCTGTCATAATAATCCCGTTGAAAGTCATAGTCCAAATCAAAAGAGGAACTGAAAAATAAATACCAAAAGATTATTTTGGAGCTGCTGTTAATTCAAAAGGCAGATGGGGTGAAAACAGGCCAAACAAACCACAACAAACAGATCAGTAAGATTAGCACGAATAATCACCATTCATTCAAACAAATCATTGTCCTCCATGTTATCTTAGACCACTGGAAATGTAGTGATCAAACTAGTAATTCAGGTGAAAATTTCAACAAAGCCAACTTATGAGCCAAACCAAGAACACTAAAAGAAAACAACAGTTGTTAAAACCACAAACCCTTCTCCCTTCCTTATTTCCCAGCTTTCTAGAACCTAACAAATTACTCTTGAATTTATGATACATACACATATTATTGTTAAACAGCAAAAAAATCTCAGTGCTAGGAAATAGGGGCAAAAAGGGAAGTATGTTAACACAAGTTAATAAGCATTAGCACTTTTGCACATACAAAACACATTGCGCTAACCCTCCCCACATCCAGAAAACAGAGAAGATGCCCACTGATGGACACAATGCAGTTATAAATAATAAAGTTCCGGACCTGAGTAGAGGGGACGGAGAAGGGTGTTCTGGTACTGACCCGTACATCTCCGCTGCAGATCGTTTCACACCTGCTTTTCCTCGGTTCACTTTTGGCTCTGCAGCCAGATTAATATCTGGGAAAAAAAGAAACAGAGCCAAAAAGTGTGGGAGTTAAAAACAAGAACTTCAAGGCAAAAAGACTGGGTTTTATTCCCCAGCAAAGCAAACAAGTCTGTATTTCAGAGTACAGTTACCTAATGCATAACATTAGCTTTCCTTCTCACTGTAAGTTTTTACAAAGCTAGGCTTTGATTTTCTGTGCTGTTGGAAACCAAAACTCCTGACATTAGTTTTTCTTTGCTATATACCCCATTCTTAGCTTCCTCCCATTTGGAAAACTGATTTATCTTTTGCATCTGTTTGCTCATGCACTAATACAGTTAATGAATCACGTCAGTCATTTTTCCAGTAACATTTCTATTTAATTTCACAAAAAAGCTTGCACATAATTGCAAAGATAAGCATGAGGGTGTATACCCTCAAAGTCATGTTCAAAGGACCATTCTCAATGCCATTGCTCCACACAAAATTAGCCTGAAAACTTCCACACATACATACCCACCCATAATAAACAACACCCAAATTTCAAGTTACAATACAAGACAGCACAATGGGTTAAACAACTGTCTGTATGTCTGGCAACCTGAGCTCAACGTCCTCTGCCTACACAGTATAAATGGAAAACCTACTAAGGAAGTAGTAAGTTGTATTCTGACCAGGAAGTGTCCACATGCACAAACACAATGTGTAAACATTTTTTTATCTAAGATAAGGACACATTATTGGGACAGTAGGATGTATCAAAAGACATAAGTCATCAATGTATCAAAGCATAATGACTAAAAACTGGTTCCCAGGAATCATATAGTAGAAAAGAGGACTCTGGCAAATTGCTCACAAAAGTAAATAAACCCTTAAACACTACCTAGTTTTTAAGGATAATCCAAAGATTTATTTTTTCTCTCACTATATCTATAAAGGTGTTTCTTACTAGTTCTAACAAATAAGCCTAAAGGAAAAACATCAGACCAAGGCTGGGTCTTTAAAACAAGTTTCACAAATGATAATTTCAGATGAGTACAAGTAGGCATATTGTCACTGAGTTTTTAGCTTTTACTTTCAAACCATGCTGGGATCAGGTGTGTGGCATCACCTCCTGGCGGAATACACAATAATTTTTAAAAATAATGTTGAATTTAGTCATATTTTCCAGAGGGACTGCTGAGAAACTGAAACTAAACAAGCAAGATGTCATGGTTCCATGAGCTAGTTCCAGGACAGCCTCCAAAGCCAGTAAAAGCAGAAATAAATACTATAAATTGATTGTAGTCTTGCAAACACTTCTTTTCACATACTTTTAATCCCTACAGAGGCAGACTGTTCTGAGTTACAGGACAGGCGAAGCTATCTGAAGTCTAGTAACCTATTATTGCTACCAAAGAGGTTGCAACAGGGAAGGTGTTATTTGCTTTAAAACACAAGCCTTTTAGGCCAAAATGTTGGCACAGTTTTAATCCTAGTACAATAATTTGAGTTTGAGGTCAATGTGATCAACATAGTTTAAAGTCTCAGGATAGCAAGGGCTATTTATGTATAGAGACCTTGTCTCACCAGCCTCCAACACATAAAACAAGTTTAAGTGAATATACATAATGTTGATGTGAGGACATTATACTGGTGGAATAGAAGCAAAGTATTAACAAGTATTAGTGATGTGAACAGACATTTAAAAAAATGTTGCTAGCTAAACAAAATATCTGAAGTCTAAAACTTATGAAGTAAGGGCTGAGATCTAATGTAGCTGACAACTCTCTAGCATGCCCGAGGCATAAGAATCACATCTGAGGGGTGGGAGGGAGGGCAACAGCAAACATTTGGGTGGATAGGTACAAGACACACACTAAAGAAAAATGGAATGAAGTATTTTTTACCCTGGGCACACACCTTTGATCCCACCTCTTGGTGTACAGAATGAATACTAGAATTGTCAGAGAAACTCAAACCAAGGAGTTTTTTCTATCATATTTATATGCATGTACATGGATGCACATGAGCCACAATAGGCATATGCAGACCACAGGATAATCTGTGGGAATGGTTTCTCTTTTTGTACCAAGTGGGTTCCAAATATTCAACTTAGGTTTTAGACAGCAAGTACCTTACCCAGAGACATTTTGCCAGTCTAAAAGATTAAAAACAAAACTACAGCCACAATGTATCTGCCAGAATTACAAAAACTAAGGATAAAAAGGAACACATTAAATCACTAAAAGAAACAAGTAGAAAATTTGGAGACTTCTTTATGTGACAGGAGGTGGAAGCGAAGGCCTTTAATCTCAGCACTTGGGAGGCAGAGGCAGGAAGATCTTTGGGTTTAAGGCCAGCTTGGTCTACAAAGCAAGTTCCAGGACAGCCAGGATCACTACACAGAGAAATCCTATATGGAATGTAACTTGAGGTTTGCGAATGTAGCTCAGAGTGCTTCTCAACTTACATAAACCAAGGGTTTGACCCTCAGAACATCATGTAAAAAATCTGGCACATATTCTTCTACCCATCTACACCAATCCTTAATGTGGCAAAACGGTTGGGCATTCTACACCAGATACTTGGACAAAAGCTGGATAATACAAACAACCTAAATGTTCTACCAAGGTTTCATATTTGTATTCACCTACTAATATAAATAAAATCAGGGCTGGAGAGATGGCTCAGAGGTTAGGAGCACTTACTGCTCTTCCAGAGATCCTGAGTTCAATTCCCAGTATCCACATGGTGACTCATAAACATCCATGAGATCTGGTGTCCTCTTCTGGCCTGCAGACATACATGCAGGCAGAACACTATATGCATGCATCTCAATCATTACCAAGGGTTGCCCAGTTTTTGCATAAAAGAAAGGAGGCATGGAAACATTAATCACAAACATTACTAAAGACTAAAATTCAAGCTTGAATTTAACAACTATAAACTTACCTAAAACCTGGCCAGCAATCATTCTGCCATCTTCTCCAGCTACAGCAGCCCGGGCATTTCTTTCATTAACATACTGGACGAAGGCAAAGCCCTTATGCACAGAGCAACCCACAATTTTGCCATACTTTGAAAAGATTGCCTCCACATCAGACTTCTTGACCACAAGAGTATTGAGATTCCCAATGAATACACGGGAATTCATGGATCGAGGATCTGTCTTGTTGGTAACATTGCTAGCCATTTCCTTCGATGATAAGGTTCCTCACAAAGCTGAAAAGTGGAAAAAAGAAGCATTCAGGTTAGCAGTTATTATTACTGGTGTTTCATTTGAACTACTATGACTATCTAGGTATCAACTTAACAGAATTCTCATAATATCAAATATTTATTAATACAATACTCCTTTTAAGCCTCTTGCACTAGCAAGATCATTCCAAGTGATCCTTCTGAAATCAAATTCCCTACACTTTTTACTGCCAGAGTTTGGCTTTTTTTTTTTTTTGCCTTCCTGATTGTAAGAATCTTATAATTAGATCTAACATACTAAGACTCAATTTTCTCAAAACAGAAACTTCAAAACTTTCAAGTATAGTTTATACAAAGGCAAATATTTCCAGATAGTCAGATATTTATTTGGACTTGATTTAGCATTTACTACAAAGTATACTAAAGCCATCTTTTCATATAATACAATAACTCTAAACTACTTTTCACAACTAGAGATTAATATTGGATGGTGATGATGATAAACTACCATTATAACACAGAAAAGTAAGAAAATGCAAACTTTCTTAAGTTTTGGTTTTATCAGACAGATCCATTCTCAAAAAGCTAGCCTGAAGACTGTAATTCTGAATGCTTCAGAATCTTGGAATTTTATGTTTGAGTCACTACACAGTTCTGATTCTAGTCTATTAAGGCTGTTTCCAATCAAAAACTCTTGACACAGTCTCATTTAAATTTTTACTGAAGAGTTCAGTAGTTTTAGAAGCAGTCACAAGATTTCAGGCCATATTACAGCATGTGTAAGGTTGCTTACATATTGAAGTCAAAGGGCAACTACCTATGGTGAGGAATCAAACTCATGTTGTCAATCTTATCAGGAGGAAGCACCTTATCCACTAAGCCATCTTAACTTCCTTACCCTATACCTTACTTATGAATAAGGTAAGTAAATGAGGGTCAAATTTGTTTAGGCAAAGAATGTGATCAGCATCCTATAATACATATACAATAAATAATGCCTCCATGCTATGTAGTCATCACCACCACCAAAACTCCAGAATGGTTAAGTGGAGTTAAAATACTTACTGACTCTAAGAGGTGTAAAAGGAAATAATCAAACTTTGTCTTGTTTTCCCAAGACAGGAGTTCTCTGTGTAAGAGTCCTGGCTGTCCTGGAACTAGCTTTATAATAAATCAGGCAGGCCTCAAACTCAAGAGATCCACCTACCCCTGCCACGATTAAAGGCACCCACCACCACTTCCCTGCCTTCTTAAAGTCACTCATCAAAATTTGTAAAATGTTTAATATGTCCTTTAAGGTTCTCTACTATCACTTGACAAGAACAACATCAAATTCATGAGCCTGTCTCCCTGAATACTAATTAAGTCTATGGGAGTACCATCTTTTCTGCTGATAAATCCTCTACTATTTACTTGTTTAAGAACCTAGGTTGGGGCTGGAGAGATGGCTCAGAGGTTAAGAGCACTGACTGCTCTTCCAGAGGTCATGAGTTCAATTCCCAACCACATGGTGGCTCACGGCCATCTGTAATGAGATCTGGTGCCCTCTTCGGATGTGTAGATGTACATGGAGTCAGGGTGTTGTGTTTGTAATAAATAAATAAATCTTAAATAAAAAAAAAAAGAACCTAGCCGGGCATTGGTGGAGCACGCCTTTAATCCCAGCACTCGGGAGGCAGAGGCAGGAGGATCTTTGTAAGTTCGATCAGCCTGGACTACCAAGGGAGTTCCAGGACAGCCTCCAAAGCCACAGAGAAACCCTGTTTCGAAAAAACCAAAAAGAAAAAACACACAAAAACAAAAACAAAAAAAAGAACCTAGGTTATTTTACTTGTATAGTTTCCTAAAGTAACCAAGGTTCATCCTTAAAATAAAAACAAAGGCGTGTAAGGTAAGGTGGTGGCACACCTTTAATCCCAGTACTTGGGAAACAGAGGCAAGCATATCTGAATTTGAGGTCAGCCTAGTCTAGAGAGGGTTCCAGGACAAGCTCCAAAGATAGAGAAACCTGGTGTGAAAAAAAACCAACAAAAACAACAGTGATGTTGCCAGGAAGGGTAAAGACAAAGGTCAAGACAAAGGTCAGCTTGGTTCAAGGACAGCCACGGCTATGTAGATTTATCTCAAAATAGTAACAGTGGCAAGATCAGTAAAGAAAATATAACATTTTAAAAGCAACACATAACTATGGGCAAAAATCAAAGCCCTTGGTTTTTACTTTACTACTCTTCAACAGTGCAGTTAACAGGATATACATGAGGTTCATAAAAAGTATGTACCTGGGGACAATGGGTTCACAGTCAAGTATTCACTGTGGAAGCACCAGGACCCATCAAGACTAGAGTTTGGGGGCTCAAAAGATGATTCAGGTCAAGAGCACTGACTGCCCTTCTAGTTCCTGAGTTCAATTCCCAGCAACCACATGGTGGCTCACAACCATCTATAATGAGATCTCATACCCTCTTTTGGCATGCATGCCAAAACACTGTATGCTTAATAAAATAAATCGTTTAAAAAAATTGGTAACTGTTTATGCCATGCACAGAACACTGCATTCCTAAAAACTTAAAAAACCAACCCACCACCAACAACACACAAAAATGAGTTCAATTGGCCGGGCGATGGTGGGGCACGCCTTTAATCCCAGCATTCGGGAGGCAGAGGCAGGCGGATCTCTGTGAGTTGGAGGCCAGCCTGGTCTCCCGAGCAGAGTTCCAGGACAGCCTCCAAAGCCACAAAGAAACCCTGTCTCGAAAAACCAAAAAAAAAAAAAAGGTTCAATGTCCAGTACTCACATTAAAAAAGACACCAGGCAGTGAGTGCTGCATGCCACCTTTAATCCCAGAACCAGGAAGGCAGACAGGCAAATCAGAGCAAGACCAACCAACCTGATCTAACTATAGATAGCAGCGCTACACAGAGAAACTCTGTTACAGGCTGTTTGCATTTGCCTCCTACACACCTTTTTTCTATCTTCCCTGTCTGCCTCTGGTCTTTCCAGGGGTAAACAATGAGCTGCCTGTATGCTGACCCAAAGCAGGATGTGTGCTATCACTACCCAGCTTAAAAAGGGCCAGTTTAATTACAACCCTCATTTTTATTGGCCTGTGTGTTAACATACACCTTTAATACCAGCAGGGGAGCGACCTCAGGCCTACCAGGGTTACATGTTAAAGAGAAGGAAAAGACAGAAAAAGATACAGGAGGCAGAGACACATCTTGTCCAGGGAAATGTAGACCTAGGTCCTCAGGAAGTACAATTTTAAAGCAAGGCAAACTATGTCACCTTACCTCTCTATGCATATATGCACATACCCACACATGATAAACATACACACTAATGTTCTTGTGCTGGGGACATAGGAATGTGAGTTTGCCTACCTAGGACACTCAAATCCTTCAGACCATCCCAACACCTCTATAAACTGGGCATGTTTCAACATTCCAAAGACAAAAGGCCAAATGATCAGAAATTAAAAGTCCTCCTTCATTCTATGTGTAACTGACAAACAGTCCACAGAAGAAATGCAGATTTAGGAGCTGGAGATACAATATGCAATTAAGTGTTTACACTGCTTCTCCAGATGACCTCAGCCTGTAACTCCAGCTCCATGCAGATAAAAATTTTGGCTTAAGCAATAACCCAACCTACATTCACATGTACATACACTTACATAGACACCCACACAATCAAATATCAACAATTTAAAAGAAATACTGGTTTGAACACAAAATGCAACAGATTGTAACCCTGAAGTAAAAAAATGTTTTGAGCCGGGCGTTGGTGGAGCACACCTTTAATCCCAGCACTTGGGAGACAGAGGCAGGCGGATCTCTGTAAGTTCGCGGCCAGCCTGGTCTACAGAGTTCCAGGACAGGCTCCAAAACAATACAGAGAAACCCTGTCTCAAAAAACCAAAAAGTTTTTAAATTAGCCAGGCATGAGAAACAGTTACCAACCTAATCATTAAAAGCACACACACACACAGGACAAAAAAAACATCTTCATTACAGACAACATAGCTTTTTATGGTGGCTCACACCTTTAATGCCAGCACTTGGGAGGTAGAGGCAGGCGGACCAGCCTGGTCTACAAGAGCTGGTTCTAGCACAGCCTCCAAAGCCACAGAGAAACATGTCTTGAAACCATCTCCCCCCCCAAAAATAAACAAAATTATGAGGTGTCTACTTAGGATATCAAAGCAGACCTTGTGGAAAGGTTCTTCCAGTTATGGCTGACATACCAAACCCCTTACCTAAACTCCTCCAGCAGTGGCAAATGGGGCTGTGCTCTTTAGTATGTAAGTCCCTTTACTATCATGGCTCTCCCCTCCCTCTCCTCCCATGACCAGGTAATGTTCACTGTGGACTCTCCCAGAGTGAATATTCTCTGTGTCTGGAATATTCTCCCCCTTTTATCTACTAATAAACCTTTCTCCATACTAGCACTGTTTTTTTTTGTTTTTTTGTTTTTTTTGGTTTTTTGAGACAGGGTTTCTCTGTATTGTTTTGGAGACTGTCCTGGAACTCGCTCTGTAGACCAGGCTGGCCTCGAACTCACAGAGATCCGCCTGCCTCTGCTTCCCGAGTGCTGAGATTAAAGGCGTGTGCCACCAACTGGCCTAGCACTGTTTTTTTTTAATTCATCTGTGAACTCTAACTGGTCACTAAAATATACTACAGCATTTCTGTGATCATATGGGAGGTAAGCTGGGCAGGGGTGACACATACCTTTAGTCCCAGCACTAACGAAAGGCACCAGATCTGAGTTGGAACCAGCTGGGTCTCTACTCAGTGGGAGTTTGAGGCCAGACTGGCCTACACAGTGAGGTCTAAGATGATGAGGGCACAAATTCAATGCTATCACATCTGTAAACATGCTGGGGTACCAGAATAAACAACTGAGGAAAAGAGGATGTCCACTACTAGGTAAACTGATACAAGATTTTAATTCCTGTATATAAAAATACTAAGGGTGCACCTTAAAGCTATGAACTTTGAGCATGCTAAGCATACACGCCCCT